AACCCTAAACCCGTTCGCATGCTCGGGGCTTCGCAGGCAACTTTGTGCACCACGGCTTTGGCCCTACCCCTAAACCCTAAACCCCAAACCCTACACCCTAAACCCTAAACCCTAAACCCTACACGCAGAAGGAGTGAAGCGCGCCCAGGGAGTCTGAGCTGCGCACACTCAGCTCTGACTCGAAATCCTGGGAAAAAACTCAGGGGTCCCTCAAAAGAGGGCTTTGGGGTTTATAAGGATTTGGGTTTAGGGTTTAGGGATTTGGAGGGTTTAGGGATTTGTGTTTAGGGTTTAAAGATTTGGGTTTAGGCTTTAGGGATTTGGATTTAAGGCTTAGGGATTTGGGTTTAGGGTTTAGTGATTATAAGAATAGGTAATGCCATGAGACCCTAGCCGAAAGTAAACACACATGCCAGTGTCACCTAGAATCTTTTTCAGTCAACAGCTGCCACACCTCAGGCTGCTCCAAGATGGCTGTCTCCAGTTGCACCTCACGCGCAACGAGTGCCTCGAACATCATCAGGAACATGGCCACGGCGCACACCGGGTTGTCCAGCAGCTGACGGGCGCCTTCCTCCATTCGCAAGTCGGTGTGAAGCTCGGCAATGATCTGGTGCAGGCCAGTCTCTGCGAAGGATGCTCTGATGATCATCTCTTCTTGTAGCTCAATCATCTCGGTGTTCCTCTCATCGTAGTAGTTCTGTCGTAGGTAGCCCATGGTCAGTTGGAAAGCTTTCTGCGTCCGAAGCTGCAGGCTCCGGAGCTTCTCTTGGAAGCTAGGTGAGCTGCAGAGAATCTCCACAGACCTCCGCAGTGACTTCTCCTGATGGGTGACCGGGCTTTCGGTGGTGGTCACGATGGTCAGACATTGCCAGGTCTCGTTGCAGACCTGAGGGTCAGGATGGCTTTCGCTCTAGGCTGGACATAGGGACTGCGTGGACGGTACTACCATCATAACTGGCGTCAGCATGGCTAGCTTTCATCTTTAGGTCTTATACTGAGCGAAGGCAACTGCGATTACAATTATGACGCTGACTTTTACGATTAGTCTTATTAATCCTACTATTACATGTACTTCTATACTTAGCTACCCTAAACCCTAAACCCTAAACCCCTATGACCTGGGCACCTTCATGACCCTGCTCCAGAGCTCCGATCGCCACGGGACACCGAGACACCGCGGCTCCCGCGCCGCCTCGGTGCCGTCGGCGGCGGCGGCCCGGAGCAGGTGACTGCCCTCCTTCTAGGGTTTAGGGGTCCAGGGGGCTTGAAGGAGGTTTATGGTTAAGGAAGCTTAGGGGTTAGGGAAGTTTAGGGTTTAGGGTTGAGGGCTTGTATATTTTGGGGGTTTGGGGGCTTTCGGCTTACAGCTTCGGCCCTAAACCTTAAACCGTTCGGGAGGGAAGCTCAGTGGTTAGGACTTGCGGTGCCCTCCTTGCGCAACTCCAAGGCGGCTGAGCGGGTGCTGATGGGATATCCTTAGCTTATAGGGTTTAGGGCTTAGGGTTTAGGGAAATCGCAAAAGGCTTCAGGGTTCAAGGCTGTCTGCTGACCCTTCGGGGCTTTGAAGATTTCCGGGCTAAACGCGTTATAATGCCTCCTAGGGTTTAGGGGTTTGGCGACGCTTCAAGAAGATCTGGCCAAGCAAAGATCATGCTGAAGAAGGCCTGTATCTGCTTAAAGCCTCATCCACGAGCTTCGCAAAACTCTCCAACTTTGCTGTGGCCCGGATACTCAAGGACTCATCGGCAATGACATCCATCAATGTTGCAACAAGGATGGCAATCAACTGGCTCAGGATGCTCTGGTAATCTGACTCACACTGCAGCCGAACCCCATTAGGCTTCTGAAGTGCACCTGATTTTGAGAAGCCGTCATGGCGATCGAGGGGTCGCAAGGCTGAGTTGGCATAAAAGCAACAGAACATCAGGCCAGCGTAGGAGAAAGTCGGGGACGAAAAGTACACGAACAAGGCAAGAAACTCAAAGGCGAAGTAAATGCCAAGGAAAAGGAATGCGGCAACATCCCAGCCGACGAAAGCCTTCAGGGAGCCGCACAGGCCGACCGTCAGCGTCTCCAACAAGGAGCCAAAGGCAACGCCCATGAAACGGTCCATGTTCTTCTTTAATGCGGCTGCCTGATTTCCACCCTGGAAGATTAAGTAGGCCACAGTGCCTGCCGGAGTGGCATTGAAGGCCGGCACGAAGGAACCAGTCTGCATCCCGATCCCAAACCATCCAATCACGAAGCAGAGCGTGAAAGCCACCGATAGCTTCAGGCAGTTCATCACGGCCTTCCAGGTCTGCAGGTCTGCGCCTGGAAGCGCCCGAAGACCTAACAGAAATCCCCGACAAGGCCCCACGGCCACCTCTGAAGGCTCGAATTCGGCCATGGCAATCAGAAGATCTGCCACCTTCTGGCTGTAGCCAGAGGCACTGGAGGCCAGAGCAAACTGGGGCAAGTGGGCTGAAGTGAAGAGCCGCTGCCAGGAGCCGGAAGGCATGAACTTGGCCTTCAAGGCCTCATGCGCCTTCATCTGGGCGTCCTCCAGTGCACTCAACCAGAACTCCAAGTGGGACTCTTCCTCGGCGTCCCAGGAGATGCCTTGAACAGCTGCCTGGCAGCTTTGCTGCAACGCTTCCCTGGCGCTCTCGATGAGCTCCCGGAGCTTCTCCAAGTCGAAGATGTGAGGTGAGGGGTGCAGCTCGTGGGCTGGGTTCGGGTTCGAAAGCTTTGCATGCTGCACTGCCATGACCATGGATTCAAGCCAGCCAATCAGGAAATCAAGGTTCCGACACATCTCTAGAAGCATCAGTCGGGACTGGCCAGCTGACCCCAGGTCGAGACACTCCCACCAGCTGCTCTTCAAAAGCCCACGAATCTCCAAAAGCTGTTGCTGTAAGCTTTGAACCTCAACTGCGAAGACGGAGGCCGCTTGTGGCCTCATCCTTAAGCAACCCATCTCCAAGAGTTGTTCAAGGAGCCGGCCATGAGACCATGTCAAATCCAGCATCATGTGCTGGGCCTTCCTGAGTTCTTTCCGAGACGTGCCTCAAATATTCACTAACATGCTTGCCTCACTATGGTTTAGGGTTGAGGTTGTAAGGTTTAGGGTTTAGGGCTTGCCTCACTATGGTAGCTTGAATGCACTAAGTCACTAAGTTCGCTATTATCAACCAAGCTTCCGTAAGGCGGAGATGTTCATCCACGCCGCAACCAACAGTGCGAAGATGCATCCTATGATAGTTCCTGTCAAGGCACTCGTTTCTGCAGCGTGAAGCTGGACGTCAAGGCCTTGGCTGAACAAAGTCTGGTCAAAGGGGTTCAGGAAGCACATGGAGAAGTAGGCCTGCCAAGACAACGCATACATCTTCCCGTTCGTGGCGAAACCCAGGCCGAACATCAGCAGGACAAACACAAGGAAATCCACCCAGCCGAAAACCTTCGTCCAAGTCTCGTCTTTCTTGACACCGTCAGGGAAAAGGTAAAAAATCAACCAGCAGTTTAGCACTGGGAGCAGTGTACCATAGAAGCCTGTCCAAGCCAGAACAACTGTGCTCCCCAAGTCCTTATACAATGTGAAGACGACTATAACCACAACATAACTCATTGACCATCCCTGCCGCTGCCACCAGTTCAAGAAGTTGGCACCATAAGTGGCAGCACAAAAGAAAGTCACCAGTGCACCCCGCCACGCCAAATCCATGTGAAATGCAAAGCTGACGCCATAGCGAGATCCGCGAAACACCTCTCGTTGCGCACAGCTCAAGCTGTTGGAAGGCTTTGCCAAAGCCAGCTCCTCGTCTTTGGCGAATCTTTTTCTCCAACGCCGGGTATTGTACTCAGAAACCCCCACGATCAGCAGGAAGCAGCCCATCAAACCGAGAAGACATGCAGCAAAGACAACCCAGAAGTCGCGAGAAGGTACACCAGACGCTTTGCCATACTCAGCATCTGTAGGCGGAATGCGGCCTGTTCTGTCATGCAAGAACTGGCTGTTGTTCATCGCCAAGTAATGGCCAAAGCTTCGAAGCAAATCCGCTGCTGAGCCAAAGCTGCCTTAGCTTTGCTTTAGATTTCCTTCAACATGAGAAGATCTACCATTCTTTGCCGACACATCGCGGGCAGGACATGAGAAACTTCTTCGACAAGGCAATGCTCGTCTTTCAGATCACTCCTCGGCTTCCCAAAACCCAACTCCAAAGGCCTTGTCCGGTTTGAGGTTTAGGGTTTATTTCAAGTTGGATTTGTTGGTGAATGCAACATCCCTGGGTCAACAAATGTCGAGTGCTGAGTGGTTGGAAGCTGTTCCTGGCGTGTGCTTGGTGTCCGAAAGCGTCCCATATAATTGGGTTGAGCCGAAAGAAGTGGGGGGAGGAATATATTAACTGCTAAAGCTGCTAAAGGGATCCTGTAAGGACTTTTGTAGCGATCCACCCTCTCCCCCCCCCCCCCAACGAACATCGATGTGGATGTGGGAGCTTGGAATCTGCGAATTTGGATGGTATTTCGACCGTTTCAAATGTCAATACGAAGCCGCAATGGTAAGCCGCCTTACAGCGGGTTCGGCCGCTAAGCGCTTTTTCAGTAGCACGACGCGCATTCAAGACGTGCTTGACGCGCTTGCTTTATCTGGCTGGAATTTGCCAGAAACACTGAAAACCACAGCGTACGTCGAAAGAACGGCTATTACATGTTCTTTTCTAAGTGTAAGAAGCTATAGTGAAGTCAACAACAACGCGTCTGAAGAACGTTGTGACTAACTGAGTAACCTCCGTGCTAGGTGTAAAACGTTGCAGTTCACTGTTTTGCGAGCCTGGGACCAGCCTGGAAGTGCGGACTTGCAGAAATAACAAGATGTTTTGCGAAGACAATGCCAGAAGTCAAAGTGCTAAGACGGTTTGACGTCCGCTTTCCTGCCACCAACAAGCCTTAACTCCAGCCTGAGGCTGTGGAGCTTGTCAAAACTAGAAGACATGTGGCCCGAAAGCATCATTTGCGAAGAGTTTAGCGCTA